CCTAATTTATGTCAATCCTTTGTCAACCTCTACAGGGCAAGCGGCTGAACATATATAGTCGTATAAGGTATATTTATTTACTTCAACTTAAATCAATATTATAGGTACAATAAAAATTAAAATATGGCATTACACACCAAAAGTCGTGAAATTTATTTTTATTTAATTTTATTTTTTTTCAAACTGATAATCATGTAGGTAGTCAATATACTGACAATAATAGATTGACAATATAGCTGTAGTATAAAAAAAAACCTGGGGTCAGGAAACAAATTTTGCTGTTCACATTTTTCAATAATTGTTTTATTTTTTATGGTCAAATTCACAATGAAATGTTATATCAAACCCTAAATAGTTTTTACTTTTTTACCTTGGTGCTCAACCCAACCAATTCGTACCAAAGTATAATATTGTTTACATAAACATATACATAACTTATAAATAAATATATACATAAAAATCCGCACTCTGATATAATAATTAAACCGTACTTTTGTTAGCGGGACGGTTTTTAATGGACTTTCTTTCGGTGGACTAGGACACTAAGTAGAATAATAAAGGTAGATTTAATAAAATAAAAATTCACATTTTAAACATTTGTTTTAAATTTAATGCCTTAAACGTGTCAAACTTTCTGTATAATATTACTAATTGAAAAATAAATTAATAAAATATCGGCATTAATATAATGCGAAACGGTGTCAATGTGTCGGTACCGCGAAAAAATAACCCCGGAAAAAATAGCCACCGACAAAATAACCCCATAGACCAAATTGATATAACAAGAGATTTTACAAATTAATCTCAAATCAATACAAAATGTATAACATACCAATTGGCTATTACCTACGCACAATATTAACTTTGGATTCAATGATAAATTATTGTATATACCCACGATAAAAACAATTTAGAGCTCTACATCAGAACTCTGCATCATACGAATTGAAAAATATAGTGCATTTTTTACTGTTTTTTACTGTTTACTTGAAAAAAAAAATCAATCTATTTACGAAATAATATTCAAAGCTATTTTATAAGTCTGTGAAAAGAACAATCTTTTTCCAGATCCACAAAATATAAAAATAGACTTCAAAAAGGCATTAATAAATTCAGCAAAAAATGTATTAGGTGAACATTTAATAATAAACGGATGTTTCTATCACCTATGCCAGAGTACTCACAGAAAATTGGCAGAATTAGGATTAAAAAAAAATACCAAGAAGATTATGGTTTTAATGAATTCTGTGGTACCTACCTATGTTAGATGGCTTGGCTTTTTTACCACTAAATAGGTTACAAGAAGGTGTTGAATATTTAAAATTAATTATTCTTCCGAGGAGTTATTTCAATATTTTGACGAAACCTACGTGATGTGGAACAATACGTCGAATAAATAAAAAATTAAATAAATAAATAAATAATACATTTTTATTATAGGGTTATTTTTTCCGTGGTTATTTTTTCGGGGTTCTTTTTTTCAGGGTTATTTTTTCCGGGGTTATTTTTTAGGCAAATCCAATGTGTCGTACACCCTCCGTCCCTCCCCACTCAGAATCGTTGTTCGTGAAAAAATGATTTAATATTGAAATATGTAATTTTAATTTAACACATACATTAGTATTATAGTACATTACAAGGTAATTGGTAAAAAAACGACACTATAATATAAAATTACCTAGACGCTAGATTCAATGACCGACGCCGACTATACAGCAGAGTGAATTCTTCGATTTTTTATTTTATTTGATATTTTAAAATATTTTAATACGTATTTATTTTATAAATTATAATATTAAAATGAACTACAAAAACTTACCTTATATCTGCAGAAGTTTTGTTCTACACAACGGCGTTAAATTAATATCGGTATTCGGTAACGACTTATTGTTAGCGGATAGCTAAGTATGCTATTATAGATGTTGTTCAAGCGAAGTTGAAAAACAGACAAACCACAAACGGTAAAACATTTTTATTAGATATTCAATTCTTATAAAATGTCTCATTCCCACTCCAGAAAACTCCAAGAAGCCCGTTTACATTATAAGGTAGGTAGGTATAAATATATTATATAAATACATGATGATATATATAATATATATATTGTAGACAATGTTATCGAGAATTCGAATAAAACCTTTTATACGTAAAAAACTCACAACAATAGGCAAAAAGGTAACGCAGATAAGGGCATACGTATACTGCTGACGCAGCTGTCTGTGTATCCAGGACCCGGGTTTTAGGTACTAACCGGGTTTTAAACTTAAAACTTCTTTACTTAATTAAATTTTAGGTTTTTTTTTTTTTTGCAGAATTCGATAACAACGATTTTGGGTTTTAACAAAATTATCAATTGTATTTTCAGACACTTTTTTCATGTTGATTTTTCCAAACGCTTGTAATATTATACATGTATATTAGAAGGTACCGTAGCACACCGGGCCGGCTTATGTGGGCCGGGCTGCCGGGGCATTTGAAATTTTGAACATTTGACGATATTACTAATAAATGTATTTAAATTTAATTTAAATACGAAACAGTTTAAAAACCTCTGATATTGGTTGGTAGTTGGTACAATGCTACAATAACGTCTTCATAGTCGAACCGTTTATAATAACAACAATTATTAGGTATTTGTTGTCCCTATATAATATTGTATTACAATTTTAAAAAATCAGTTTTATCCACAAAAATGTTGAACACTTTATCTGATTTGGTTGGTACATCGACCGCCAGAAAGTTATTGCTAAACTAAAATCATTGAACCATTTGCATATATTTATAAAAATATTGTAGGTTTGTTGAGAAAGAGAACAGAAAACATTTATATAAAGTTTATATTAAAAGTAATGAATAATAATATAATAATACGACGATTCTGAAACTGATGAAGATGATTTTGGTAATTTGGTTTAATACGAGTATGAATGGTATCATCAGGGCCGTCCGGACGATTTGCGGGGCCCGGGGCAGAATAAATTTGTGGGGCCTAAAATGTCATTATCGTCAGTTGGCAGTTGCATTTATTTAAATATTTAATATTATGAATTATGATATATACCTACCTAGGTATAAGGGGGCTACGCGCAAATATACTTAAAAATATAGTACCTATTGTACTTACAATAATGAATAAGTAAATTAATTAATAACAAAACACGTAATATATTTATACTTAATATAATAATATTGATAAATTAATAAGTCTATAAATATAGTAGGCACCTAATACAATATGAAAAAAGGTGGACAAGTGGGTACCGCTCTGCTGTACAGTGGGTGTCAAGCATGTCGTTGTAATGGATGTGTTATATTTAAATTACATTGATAAATTATTGTAAACGAAAAAATATTCTGAGCGGAGACATTGTATCAGCCTAGCACACTTGTAAAAATAATCAAATTTAGTAGCTAAAAAAAAATTAACAAAGATCGAAAACGTGGCTTCCTGGGGAACTTTTTTAGTTTGATAGAATTACAAAAACTTGTTGGAAACCTTCTATTAAAATGTCTCAAGTTAGGTATGAAAAAAAAAACTTTTATGAATTTTGTCAAAATTGGAACTTTATAAGCATATAACAAATAATTGAGCCTATGTATTTTTAAAACTTCCATTAATGAAAATTATAAGGAACCTATCATTACATTTTCAAGATTTTTTACTAAATGAAAAAGATTTTATCGAGGATAGTTTTAAAAAAATTTAGAAAAATGGAAAAATTTCTCAAGGGCTCAAGCCTATAACTAGCTCAAAAATAGTCAAAATATTGAGAAAATGTTTTATGGAAAATTCTAATATAAATATTTGTTGAAAATTTCAAGGTTCTACAGTTATGAATTTTTGAGGTACACCAAAAAAATAAAATCGATTTTTCAAAAATTGGTTTTGTATAAGTCACCTATTTTTTTGTTTTTCTCAACGCTTTCTAAAACTACTAGAAATTTTTAATTTTGACTTCCCAAAAATACCAACTAGTTTCACTTTTCTATCAGTAAAGATGCTGATCTAGAAAATCGGAGCACTTTTACTACCCAAAAGCGCCATACAAAACAGAAAAAAAACACACATCATTGTAAAATCAATACATTTTTTCGCTCCGCTCAGAATCTAAGCATTTTTTTTCTATAAATATTATAGCTAAGTTGTTGTTTTTTTGGGGGGACAGAGCGATTTGAAGATTTTTATCATTTTCAACTTTGAAAATTGAATTTTAATCATATTAACTCGTTTTAAATGCAATACATTTATTTGACGACTGATGTCAATTTATTAATATAAGTAGGTATAGCCGTAGGTATAGGTAGTAAAAATTACAGCAATTAAGGATATAAAAATATATAAATAATAATTTTTTTTCCTCATTAACTTGGTTTTTTTATGGTATCTACAAAAGCGGGGCCTGTCCAACTGGTGAAGGCGCGGGGCCCAGAGCGAGGGCCCCGCTCGCCCTGCCCTAGGGACGGCACTGGGTATCATTGAATATCAAAAGGGTTATACATTTATGAATTTATGATTCTTATAAAATATATAATAATTAATATAACTTATTGGCTATTGTCTATTAATAATTTATACCTGAAAAAGTAGGTATTCATAAAGAAGCTGTTATAAAGGGGCTTGGGCCGTTTAGTTTTGTAGAATACTGGGCTGTTTACCTCCCAGTCCGCCCCTGGAATTGACCTATTATTATATTATATAGGTTTCAATATTTTATTCTTATAACCGCGGTTAGGTTAGGTTAAACGGAAAAAAAGTCCCCGTTAATAAAATCATACGAAAAAACATGATTGTACGTAATTATTACATTTATTGCAACATTTAATAATTATATGTTACAGGTAGGTATATAGGTATATTTTACATGTTACAAGTTACAAAAAATTTTACAAAATTATGTGTTACAGGTATATGTATAGTCTTATTTTTACAAGTTAAAGAAAAAAAATACACTTATTACAAATTTAATCAGATTTTATTCTTATATTATGCCCTATATTTGTCAAGAAGATATCAACGATTCTTCCATATACCACTCTTTAGATTGACTCAATAAATGTATCATGTTGTCAGTACCAAACATTATAATCCTCTCATTAGTGTTTTCAGATTTATTATCATATAAAAGAAAACTTTGACTATTCCATAAAGACCATTCTCCTAAAATTTATGTATGAAAATGTAAATACATTATTATGGAATTTTATTTTTATAAATATTAAATTTATACCTTCAATAATTAAATCGTTAATATCTGTTGGCTCGACAGGGTTATTTCCACTTCTTTGCATTTGGATAGTTCGTTTTATTGATTCTTCTGTAGGAATTTTCATTAAGGCTTGTTTTGGTATTTTGTTAATTACTTCGTTGAAAATTTGACCAGGCGTAGAACCAGAAAACTTGGCAATTTCTTTTATTTCAGCTTTAGATTTTACGGCTTCGATATTATTTTGGTCGGCCGCATGGTTATGCTCGTGATGAATACTTAGAACTTTTAATACAGCTGGACACTTAAAAGAACTACTTTTTACGCATTTCCACCGAATAAATTGTTTACAATCTTTGTGTTTGGTATACATACAAGTATATAACCGTTTAAAGAAATTTTATATAAATTTTATATAAATATATATAATATATTATATCAACTAGGTACTCGTTTTTGAAACTTACTCATAATACCTATACCATGTAATACATTGTTGTCAAATATAGTGCGTTTATTTTACAAATAAAATTAATAATTACGTACAAATGTACAATCATGTTTTTCGTATGATTTTATTAACGGGGACTTTTTTTCCGGCATTCCTTATATACATATCGATTTACATTAGTAAATAATGAGCTATACACCTACTAAAATAAATGTGAAAAATAGTTCAAAATAATTATTACTTAAGACGTTAAACAGACCACAGACGTATACTTAATTGAAAAAAAATACTCAATATTCTGATTTTTGTTTTTTTAAATTAGTATTAACCCTGAACAAAGAAAATTTGTAATCATAGAGTCTTTTCATTGAGACACTTCCTCTGGTGTGTCCTGACAATCTGGGATGTACCTATGGTGCCCTAGCCTATAAACTATGTTTGATTATTTTGCTTTGGGTTCAACATTTAGTTGATTTAATATTATGCTTGATGTGAAATGAAGACTAGGTTTTTATTTTTGTAATTTTTATAGCATATCCATATTAATTTTATATTATTTATCTATTAGTAATCATGTCAAACTTGGTTTTTAGATAGGTTTTCCAAATTCGTATTATATCGAAAACCTAAATCCTTCAATAAAAGTACTGTATAAAAGTCCAGTGGCGTGGCGAGCATCTTTAAAACCCTAAGCAAATTAATTTTGTAATGACCCCCCACTTCCACCCCCCCACAAACTAAGTATAATTGTCTACATGCTAATTTTGAATTTTTGCTATAGGAAGTCATCAAACATTTATTATAAATAATAATAATTAATTATACATAAAATAGTAATAGTATAATTAAAAATATAAATTAACTCTGATGACTTTTGAAGCAGTCTTTTATGCAGTAAACATAAGCCTTGCTTATGTGTAAGGGTATTATCAGGGCTAAGCAATTGCATTAGGTAAACGTCGTTCACCACGCCACTGTATAAAACCTTCAATGATCGAAGTAGAAGCTTTCTAGGGTACCTAGATCATTTGCCGGCTGGTAACAGTTTTTTAACTCAATTATTAAGGAGGTAAATTACGTGTTCAAGATTTTAATTATTCAAAAAAAAATTAGGCGGGAAATCATCTTTTGTCAATTTTTCAACATTAAGGTCGATACGCGGCTTTTTTTGAGAACAGAAATATGATCTAGAGGTGTTACTGCATCGGACCTCGAAGATCTCAAGACGATACAACCAATATTGAAGGAGCAAGTACTTAAAAATGTATTTCCAGCCGCTCCAATTTTAGTGTTGTTAGCCCAAATATATAATAGGTATATTAAAGTAAATTGACCTATTATTTTATAGGTTTTAATATTTTATTCTTATATACCTATCGATTTACATTAATAAATAATGAGCCACACGCCTACTAAAATAAATGCGAAAAAAAAGTTCAAAATAATTATTACTTAAAACGTTAAACAGACGTACACCATACGGAGACGTCAAGTTATACGAATAATCTCGTCCCAATGCGTTTGTCAACTTTTTGTTTCTCCGATTATGGGGGAAATAATGGTCGTACGTACTTCGACCATAGACTCTTTTTGAATCTTCGTACGTCAAAACATCAGAATCTTGAGTTTCGTAGTGATCAAACGAAAACCAAAAATCCAAAATACTCGTTACTACGTAATTTTCCAAGTACAGAAAACTACACGAAAAATCATAAGTTCCGAACCAAAGGTCGGATGACCTCGATATTTTTATCCATCGATACGGCGCAAAGTCCTCTATAACATAATCCGACAATAAAAACGCCCAAAATCTAAGTGTCCGTGCCAAAAACCCCGAAAAACGAAAATTTAAAATTTTTGAAGCCCCAAAAACAGAGGAAAAACGGCTCCTACGGTCTCGGAACAAGACCCCGAATTTGAACACTGACCTCTAAATTATCTAAATCACGAGTTTCAGAAATGTTGTATAAAAACTAAACGTTTTCCAAAATAAACCAGGGGGGGGGGGTTCAAGAGCCCCCGACTTCGGGTGTACGTTATAGAAGCGCCTAAACCGAAACGTCTGGAACTTATAAGTATAATATTATCTTATGGGAACGTTATCTAGAACTTATAGATTTATTGAACTTTAAAAACTATTAATATTTATACGTTAGGTAGTAAGCATTTGGTAATTACGCCAGCAACATACAACTTTCTATGTAGGCAGTTTTCCTAAAAGTAGTTACCTATTCATATAATCACATCGATAGTAATTCTATATAAGAGTGTTAAACATGAACAATTGTTTGTATCATTGATGAACTTTAAATCTCAATCATCAAAGCTTATTATGATGTATACGTCTCGAAAATGATTATGACTAAATATATTTTGTTATAATACTATTATATGACATGTCTTGAAATTTACTAACGCTGGACAATAAGTATAAACGCATACTAAATTAGTAAATGACAGATGTATATTATAATATTAGGTATGTACTCTATTCAGAACTATTGTGGTCGTCTGTTTGTGGGTGAGATTAATCCCACATAGGAGAACGAGAAATGGTGAAATCACTGAAATCTAAAGTTTGTCGATGGAGAATTTTATGGAGATTCCATTGAAATGGTCGGTGTAACAAATTTTCCAGTTTTTAAGTAGATAGCTTTCAAAAACCATAAAAAAACCAAAAAAACATCCTAAATTTTCTTTATCAAATAATCATAGATTTTAAATGATGATAACGAATTATTAACTAGTATAACCACGGTTCAGGTTTAGGTTCTTCATATCACTAGGTATCTAAGAAAAGAAATAGTAATACATAAACTAAGGATGGCCGAAACCTACTTTAAGTACTTTAAGCATTGCTTTTAGTTACTATACCAAATTTTTTATTTTTAAGCTACCAAAATTAACTTATTATAATATTAAAATACTTATTCTTAATCGGCTATAAATACAGTACTTACTGTTAAATTTTATATTAATGGTAAATGGTGATAGAGTTACTAATTGTTTAACATGTTTATATTATTATTTTTTTATTTTATTTTAAATAATACAAGTATAAGATATAGGTTCACAACTATAACACAAGGATGTTTGCTATATTATATTGGAACAAACTGTGTGTTGGGACTATGAATGATGTTGATTGGTTACATACTACATATATATTACAACATTGATTTTTAATACGATATTGAGCCATTAAATTAATACAATTTTCAAAATAATTTAATTAATATGGTTTTTTTTTCGATTTTAGTGGGAGAGTTTTTTTTATTGATATATGAAAAAATAGGTGATTTTATAGGTCAGTATAACAGTGCTATGAGGGGTTGGTCACCTAAAATTATTTGAGCAACACCAATTTTTTTATGATACACGGCACTGCTGGTAAGCAGGGTTGGACAAGTTACTCAATTTATTGTAACTGATTACAAGTTACAAGTACCTAACTCTAAAAATGTATAACTAGTTACAAGATATTAGATAATATATCAATGTTGTGTAAATGGATAAACGTTATAGTTATGTTACTAAGTTACATTTAAAGTTAAAAGTTACATTGATGAATAATATATTATGTTTGTATTTATTTATTTATTTATCTATATATTATATAAAACTGAAGACAAAAAATTCGAAATTGCATCAGTTGATAACGGCTGGACCGATTTTGCTCAAATTTTTTTTAAGGTGTTCGTAATTGCCAGGTGAAGGTTTTTACGAAAGAAAATTTTTAAAAAGTCAACCGAATACTTGGAAAAACTGCAAAAACTATTTATTGATGTCTGGGATTTGAACTCGATACCGTTGTCTTTATTTACTCTATGGTGTATTATATTATATTGGTTGCTATTGGTAAATCGGGCATGTTTGTTGATTTGCATTATTATTTTTTGTAAATATTTCTTATGTATAAATGAATGATGGTGTGTAGATTAGACCTATGGGAAGAAGATACGCTAATTTAAAAAGGGTTAAATTTGGTTTTTTTCATTCATCGGATTTTAGTACGGTTAGGTTAGGTTAGGATTTATAGGTAGGTGCGATTAAGTAAAAACGTCAAACTTAGTATAACTTTGGTACTTTTTGAGTTTAATCATACACTTACGTACAAACAGCACGGGGTCCGCGATCTACCGCAGGTAAATTACCTATCTGATAATGTACTGCTGCAATTCAGAATTTTTATTCCGGGCAACAGAAAAGTTAAGATAAATCTAGAACATCATACACCGAATATTAAATAACACATTGAACAATGTTTGAGTCATATAGAGTTGGTACATTTAACGGGAAACGAAGTGCACGGGATCAGCTAGTTTATTATAATTAACCCATTTTAAAAATTTGTATAACAATACTGTAACAGTGTAATACTGTAATAGTTAATATTAATTTGTGTTAAATATTCTTTACAAATTACAGTTATAATGAAATAATTTAATGTATTAAGCATACGGTCATACCTATGTAATCAAAAAAAAAAAAAATAATAACCCATGCGTTATATGATTTAACATGGCCTATCCATTGGGTCGGGGGTAGTTGTCCGAAAAATGATAAGGAAGTATATACCATAACATAACCAGCATATAACACTGACACCAATTTTAAAAAACATAGTACAGCCATGCCATGCCCCACTCGAATCGAAAATATGCCTCGACTTGCTATGCAACACCACCTCAAGTTGGTCACAAGGTAACAGCCGGTATACCACGGACAACCACTCTTATCATTTTTCCGACAACTGCCAGCCATCGATATCCATTCTTCTATTATCTATGGCTTATCAAGTGCTATATTATTTTCGGATAAAAAACTTTCGGGTAAAAAATTCAAAATAGTATTAGAGTTTAAATTTAAAACTTATTGTTTCAATGATACTAATAGGTCATTATTATTGTTATATAGCCATG